CTACTCTGATACCATCAAGAGTTCTGCTTATCTTTTGTAGATAGGAGAGGATAAGAGAGATAGAGAGAGGCTCTCAACTTTATTATTTGTCATTCATTTCTTATCCAATCAAACAGAAGGAACAGGATATAAATACTAAGACAGGTAACAGTGACTCAGCCCTAATAGTTCTGATAATTACAATACTACCCCTCCATTCTAAATAAAGTAAACAAATAAGGAAAACTAAAACTCAGGAATCTTCACTTATGTAGTTGTTGCTTTGATTTCTCACTTCAATAGAAAGTTTCCACTTTTGGTCCCGTGCTTTTAGGTCATTCTCATACATGGTCAACGGCTTTCATATTTTCCACTCTTGGTGATGCTTTGTAACTTTTGTCTTTCCATATGACTAAGTCTGCCAATATCTAGGTGTGATTTTCATCAGATATGTGACTAAGAGGACAATTAATGTTGAGAAATCAATTGTCAATAAAAGAGAGAAAAGTGAAGGTAGGGGACTAAAAGTGGGAATGATCTACAGATGCAGAGCTAAAGTGTAAAATTAACTTCTCTTTTATCATTCTGATGTTCACAGGATGGAGATACCAGTGGTGGAGGTTTCGAAGTATGGGGTTTGGCTTTTAGCTAAGAATGTAAGACAACTCAAATACAAAATTTGCCAACAAGACTTTACTTGAAGCGTGCTTTTACTTGATGTTTCCTCCAAGGACAGGTAAATCAATATATTTACAGAATCCTGGTAGAACAAGATGCATGTTTTCATGATAACAATGATGCCTTTTTAACGCTTCTGTACTTAGAAGATTTGTGTTGATGGCGGCCACGTTTTGGAATCAAGCAGATTTCTTGGTTGAATCCTGCTTAAATGTATTGATGTGTAGAAGTAACATCCACGTTTCAGAAATTTTGACATAAAGAGAAAGCAGTTATTTAAATGACATAAATGTACTAAATTCAGACCATGAGAAATACTACGTAGTAGATGAAGTTTTAAGCGTATGTTACAGGAAATACCTTTTCCTGCTTAGTTGTCGTCAGCGGACACAAAGATGAAATGAGAAGGAAGAGACTGGACTTTAAGCGTGCGGATGATATATTATAGCCATCCATGGCAGATTTCGGAGGATTTGAAGCGTTGCGGTTTATGGTGGTTAGATAACCGTAGAAGTTGGTAGGAGAAGGCATAACTGATTTAGGAGGCTTGCTTGTAAAACATATCAGTTATATCCAAGTTTTTCAGTTGGCAGAAAGAGGTAGAAATGGATGGGAAAAAGACCAAGCAATATATGTTGGCTTATATTATATACTAGTTTTTTAACGCCCTATGCGCGTTGCACAAAATGCCCAAGCATATTCTTTGATTTTTAACATCTTATCTCCAACTCATATGTGAATGATTACAAGCCTAAGCAAAAAATAGGGCAGGTAAAAAGATTGTAAAAAATTACAAGAGAATAATAGATGTATGCAATGTGTGCAAAAAACTATACGAAGTACTCCCTCCGTCCTACTAATATTGTTTCATTTTACTTTTTTGGTCCGTCCCACTAAGATTGTCTTATACTAAATTTGGTAAAGTTTGTGTGGCTCTAAATTATTCTTACTTTATTAATTCAATATCAACCACATAAACCACTTTTTATTGATTTGCGTGTCACTCCCTCTTGTTCCATTGTTAGTGGGACGGAGGGAGTCGTATTTATTGAGTTTAGAGTATTGAGACAACAAATAGTTCATGGGATAGAGTTTGAATCATAGTAATATTAGATGAAAATGTTAAAAGTAATCAAATGGTTTCTTTTTTGCATTGCTGATCAGTTGGTAAGTTGCCTTTTTAGTGTATGTAGCAATACAGGCTATACAGCTCATAGTCACAAAAGTGGAATGCATATGAGCAATTGCATGATATTTCCCTTCAAATTTAGAGAGATTAGTTTTTTGCAGGAATTTAAGAGCCCGTTTGATAACATTGAAATCGGCTTGTTCGGCTGATTCTGCTGAAATTTATGAAGTTTTGGCTGAAATAGCTATATTGGCTAACTATGCTAATTTATGAAAAAAATATTTTAAATATATTTTATTAATAAAATAAAGAAAAAATTATATGAAAAAATGGCTAAAATGGTCATGTAACTTCAGCCAATACAGCCAGAAAAGTAACTTCAACCTTACTTTTTGTTATTATTTCACAATTTAGCACGTGAAATAAAAAATTACGTGTTTGGTTAAAAAGTTGGCTGATAAGCCTCAAACAAAGTTATCAAATGATCTCTAAAAAGATTTGTTAACAACCAACGTATTTGAAATAACTATCAAATTCAGCTCTTAAACCCTATAAATTGGTTTCACTCATATATGGACATGGAATTGAATTCCCCATCAACCAAAACTATATGTAAAACAAGTAAATAAAGCATAGTTACAATTAAAGTTTTTGTCAGGTTCATTAGCCTGAACATATGTGCATGTTATTTTAGAATTAAATAGGAAAAAAAGAGAGCAAGAAAAACAAAGTTCTATGCGTTTTATAGAAGATACTGGCTTCCAAGTTATAGCGCTAGATTGTAATGAATTTAAATGAGTTCTTTGTGCCTATAATGCTGCTACTTTTCAACTTGAATGTGGAATCTACCTAAGCTAGCTTAGTTAGCAAGTGATCGATCCAAGAATATAGAAGTATATATTCATGGCTTTGAATCTTCGATATACTTGTATGATACTCCGTAATAACATACGGGTGTTATGAGAAAATAAATTAAATAAGAAAAGAAACAAAAAACTTGAACATAGTAGATGAAGAGGTCAGGAATCCGTTACTCCGTTAGCAATTGGAAGAATAAAGAGTGTTATACTAACCAAGGATAAGAGCCGCCATTGAGAACAAAGTTAGAAAAGTGCAACAAATGGAGCATTATGTACGTTACGTTTATGCATCAAGAATTCAAGAGACACCAACATATTTCATATGACCATTATACCCTTAACAACATTCACTCTTATAAGATTGTAGAGAAATAGAGAAATGCCGAATTAGAATTTAATTATCCTCCAAAACACAAGTTCTTCTATCTTATGATTTTATATCAATCCTATGACTTGGGGATAATAACTTTAAGGGCTGTCCCACTTTGTCACTGAACTTATTTATTGACTTCATTAAGCAATAACTGGTGACAAGCAAATTATTTTCTATTATTCTACTTTACGGTTCTTGGTTTTTCTTTTAAAATAAATCTCACCAACTTCTTCGCTATGCATTCTACACAATTACTATTAGACAATTAAAGAGTAACAAAAACCAAATCAAACATGTGTGTAAAATTAGACAAGTGTATAAAATATCGATTCAAAATTAGCGCACAACAATTTGGCGAGTGAATATGAAATGTTGGGCATGATTCGCACGTGGTGCGTACTCCGCTAGTATATATATGGTGAAAAAGAATACATGCACACACTGGCACACACATGAAGTGATGTGTAGTCGAATACGATGTAGTAAAAAATATCCTTTAGAAATATTGAGAGCTTGTTTCTGATAGCTTAAAATATGAGGGTCTTTCAATTAGATGCATAGTTGATTATTGTTGCAATCGATTATAATCAGAATCTATTATTGCTTGGGTAAATTTTCTCAAAAATGTTTAAAAATAATTAATTGGATTTGTGTTAAATGAAAAATTTGCTCATATCCATAGCATGTTGGCCTGCATTGCTGTATGGCGTAGAGTGTTGGGCGGTGAAACAATGTCACCTTCAAAAGATGAGTGTGACAGAGATGCGCATGCTGCGTTGGATGTGTGGGCATACTAGGAAGGACCACATGAGAAATGAGACAATCAGACAAAAGGTGGGAGTAGCACCTATTGAAGACAAGATGCGGGAGTCTCGTCTACAGTGGTTTGGTCATGTGCGTAGAAGACTGAAGACCGAATGATGCACCTATCAGACGTGTTGAGATGTGTGGAGAAGAGGCAGGAAAGAGAGGGAGAGGAAGACCCAAACAGACGTGGGTTAGGGTAGTCCGAAGTGATATGCTTCTTTTTGGATTGGATAAGGGTATGGTTTTGGAGAGAGCAAAGTGGAGGGCGGGTATTTGTGTGGAGGAGTGATCTCGTATTATTTCCCCTCATCTCTTTTTCTTCTTGTTTTTTATTCGTTTACCCTTATATATATATAAAGTTATAAACATTATTTTTATCCCTCTTATTTTATCATTTGTAGGTGTATTCATCCCGTTTCATATTATCTTTTTATAATAGCTTATTTTTTTATCTTTATTTTCTTTCTTTTCCTTTTGGTGGTGATATCATGTATCGATTCATGTTAGTCGACCCCAATATTTTTTGGGACTAAGGCTTGAATGTTTGTTGTTGTTGTATCCATAGCATGTTGGTTTGACAAACTCACTTTTAGTCGAAAACTCGCAATGTGCATGATTCAATTTGTATTAAATTCGCCATAACCAGAAGTGTAGATGCAAAGAAAAAGATCAGGGGGCGGAGAATACCCTCCATAGAGCTCCAAGGTAGGGGCTTGTGTAAGCTCACTTAATTGGGATGCAAAACACAAGGAACTAGAAGAGATATGTCACTCCATATATTGGAGGCAAAAAAAAACTCTTCTAGAGAAACCTTAGGCTGTGCTTGGTAAGGGGTTTGAGAATAAGGAATGGGAACGAAAATATAGTCTGTGAGCCATACCTCCCAAACGGGAGTACAAAACATTTCTTAAACCCATCAAACTCATTTCCATTCCCATACCCTAAGACTTACCAAGCATATCCTTGGCCACCAGCCAAGAGAAAGCTAAGAGTTAGGAGTAGACAAGGCAGGTATAGTTACACATTTAGAACAGAGTTTTGAGACTAAGCGTGATCACCATTAAGTTCAAGAGAAACATAAATCAATTGATCCTGATGGGGCATGTTAGTTATACACGAAATTTATTTCAATTGAAGACTGTCAAGAACCTAATGTGGGGCAAGTACTACGTACCATCCAGTAATAAACTTTTTCCAAGCCCAACTACGAATCACTTTGCCAAACGCCTGGAAAAGAAGGAAATCGTATATTAAATCCCTGTCTACATTTGTGCGCAGAAGAATGCTATGATAGAAGAGTAAAAGAATATCAAATTTAAACGATGAGGATGAACTGCAAATAACATTTTTATTGGTGTATGATGCGTGGGTGTGTGCGGGAGAGAGACCTCTTTCCCAGAGGAGTACGAGGATGGCGGGGAATCGGAAGGAGAAGATGATTTGGAACAAGCCCCGCTCTCTAAGCCACCGCCAACGACCACCGGAATCAGGCGTTCCAGATCCTTATCCTTCTCCGATCGGGTTCCCATTTATGATTTGTTCCCGCTGCTGACTGAAACTTAAACCTCTGCTAAACTAAACGGTCACTCGCCAGCGACTACGGACGCGTTGACACCTTAATGTTCTCCTAGGATGGCAATGGGGCGGGATACACCTTAATTTATAGTATTTGCATATGTTTTAAATCATTCTATTGTTATTATGCCTCACTTTTTTACTTTATTTTGCAAAATTTTATCTTGGACTTAATTACTTTTTTATTTTTGTCATCGACTTATACAATTACGAATTACTTCCTCCGTCCCACTATGATTGTCTCATTTTACCTTTTTGTCTCGTCCCACTAAGATTGTCTCATACTTTATTTGGTAAAATTTGTGTGGTTCTAAATGATTCTTATTTTATTCTTATCTTATCAATTCAATATCAACCATATAACCCACTTTTATTAATAACTGTGCCGTCTTCTCTGGTCCCAAACTTAGGGGGACGGGGGTAGTATATATTTTTGTATGTGGTAATGAGATTTGCTACTTTAATATGTGTATACTTTTATTTCTTTTTACTATATATCTTATTTTGTGGTATATACTTTAAATGTTCAAAATAATTCCCCGTATTTTTTGTCCAAATTTTTGTAACATATACCGTATTATACACGTATATGTATTCACATTGTGAAATAAATTTTAAGTGTTTGCTTAAAATTGATCACAAATAATATATGACAATATTGAGTACAATCTCCAAATATTTGATCATCGAAAACTAGGGTTTATTCATATCATAAGTGTCAGGATCATTACATCAATCAAAGAAAAAACAAATCTGACATCAACTAGACTCCAACAACTACGACTGTAAACCCTATGATCAGATTTAGACACGGTCACCTCACCAACACGAATCGCTAACTATGTAACGGGCTTGAGCCATCAAAGTTCCCATAGATCCAAACATACTCAATGACATAAAACCAAGCTAAATTCTCAAACAAACTGACAAACCTAACAACATAGACGACAACAAGAAATCAAATGACAAAATAATGAAAATTTATTGGAAAACTTTCACGAACTCTAGCCTCTCGCACAACCTATGGCGGTGGTTCAGGATGAGGCCGTACTATTGGTACCTCTCTAATTGATCCTCCATTGTCGATCAAAATATGACCTATTCGAAACCCGTGCAACTCTCCTCATCCCACACTCGAGCCCAAATCACCGCTAACGGTTATCATCTTCGTTGTCATGCCCTACAACCCTCGCACCGCAAACCCTCGTGGCCTCAACCCTTGTGGGAAAACAATAACCTGCAAAAGAAGAGGAAAAAGTAACACAAAACTTCGTGGTCGTAACCTCTGTGACCGATTCTTCAACCAGAGAGTAGCTGGGTGTGAAGCTCTCCCTTGCAAGACCTGCAAACAGCCAATCTGCTCATCACCCTCGTCTTCACAGTGTTAATCGACTGAAAACCGAATGACGAAAGCCGCACGACCCCAGGCGGCGGTCTGCGGAAAATCCGAACCCTAAGCTAAGGGACGACGACCGTTTTTTAAGTATATCGGTAATATCTCTAAATATGAATCCTCTGATTCTTCACTTGCAATTTGAAATAAATATAATTAAAGAATTTAATTCAAAAATAAATCTTTAATCCTTCAAAAATTCGAACATTCTTCGGATCTTCATTCTTGAGATCTTCGAATCTTCGTTCTTCGGATCTTCAAATATTCTTGAATACAAAATTTAGCTTGAAGGGCCTCAGATTTTGAAGTAGCTTTATCCTCAACAAAAGGGCCGTTTTATGGTTTGATCCTCTGTTTAAGGGCTTTTCAGAATATATGGCTTGATCTTCAATTGAGTTTTGATTCGGTCTTTATATGAATAACTTCAAATTTTCAATGATCCGTTCTTCATATCTTTGAATTTTCAAAGCATTGTTCTTCAAATCTTTGAATTTTCGAGTATCGTTCTTCAGATCTTCGAATGTTCTTCAACTTTTGGATTTATTTTATCAAGAATGAACGAAATCACAAAGAATTATTCGTATATTCTTAATAAGATTTGTGGCTTGATCTCTTCCTCGTCTTCAGAATCGTTCAGAGCCTCTCGAGAGTTCTTCAGAGCTTTTCTGCAGCGTTTCTTTGACTGGAAATTCTCCCTTCTTTCTCTCAACTGAGACCCTTATTTATAGGTGTTGGGGGGGTGAGATATGCTTTAGGGTTCCGAAATTCGTCCCTACCTCATGGGCCCTAATTTGCTTTGGGCTCTATTTGCTTGCATTTTGATAGCCAGAAAAATCAGCACTTATGCAATGTGTCTAATCTAGACAACTTTGTTAACAAGGCCCGTAGCTATTTTTCATGCATATGGACACATTTCTGAGCTAGATTTGTTTCTCTCTTTATCAACTGAATCATGTCTCTTAGATATTGAACTACTATTTAATTATGGGCTTAAAATAGAAAATTAGTAGGACTGGCTCATTACTTTAAAAGCTCAATTTATAACCAAACTAATCTATACTAATATAAAAAGGAAAACCAAGACATAATAGTTCCCGCCTCAAAGTTACGGACGGCAAAGAAGCGACGCTTGGGTTCGTTGCCTTTTTCGAATGGGCAAATAAGCGACTCTTGAATTTGTTGCCTTTTTAAACTCAACAGTTTCAAACTTTCAATCGATACCACATCTATATCTATATAATATATAAAAACGCAATAGTCTAGATGCATTTAGGCGGGAAGAGGCTATACTCACTGGCGGAATGTGTGCAAGGAATTGGTTCATTAATTAATTGTCTAAATATTCTAGAACCCACTATAGCAATAATGGCAGGAGCAGCACGTGTCCCCAATAATTAGAATAAAAAATAGCACTAAATAATGCTATTACACTTCTCAAGAAAACCATATACGGAGAATAATGGTGCAAGAATATCAATGCTCTGTTGTACGTGCCAATCGGTCATAATTATGCTATTACACTTTTCAAAGTTAATAAATACGGCCGTGCAAAACAAAATATTGATTTCAAATTCTCAGCAACAATTATCACTTATAAATAGGAGAACTATATGCTCCTTCAGCAACAAAAAACCAAGGATGCCAAGGAAACCACCGAAGCAAAGCATGGGAGATCAACCATTTCTGAATCAGAGTATAGAATGTAAGCATCAGTGCATGTAAGTTTATTTGTTATTAGACGTTTACCATTAAATTTTTGCTTCTACGTGTTTTTGTAATGTTAAGAATATGCTAGCAACTTTTGGAGTTTTGGTGTGATGAAGAACATGTTATGATATGTTTTATATTCATCCAACATGGATGTACGTTTATTTTTACCATTTCAATTTTCAAGACCAAATATTGAGGCTACAATTCGAACACGAAATTTAGTAATGCATGCTTTTATCAGAATGCTAATTGCTTCATAAATTCATACGCATGAATTGTGATGAACACAAAACGATGAACATAATATGACACCAAATCTTAAACTCCTAAATCGGGAACAACTTAGAGAATTGAACATTTTAAACCTTTTAAACGGTTTCCCATTCTTATAAAAGCTTATTGGTTAATGGTTTCATTGAAAAATGAGTTTGCCAACCATTTAGGTATGGAGTATTTAAATGGGTTCATATTAACAAATATTGTATGTATGTCCAGTATTCAAGAAAAGAATTGCTTTTTTGGATCTTATTGATGAATCAGTAATTTCATGGAAAAACTTCATTGTATTAGTGTTGAAATTCCACTGTAATTAAAGTCCTGAGAATTATACCGTCGTCGCTTTATGCAATTCAGATGTGCTTATTCATTGCTGTTGATCCATTGGTGACATGATTGCATTTCAGACCTGTTAAAAAATAGAAAAGGAATGGTCAAGACTTCTAAAAGTGAAAGAATTATAGACAAAAGATATATACATGATATCACATACTTCGTACTTCGTATAAAGGTAAACTTAACTGTCTAGATCTACAATCACATATTTTATGGTATTGTGGTTATATTAGCTCAAAAGGCTGCTATTAAGATGTTGAGTTTATTCCCTTTTTTTTAATAATCAGTTGCTTACTTGATTATTACTCTCATATTTGAAATCTGGAGCATAATGATTGAAGTAACTTTCTATGTTAGAATTGAGTTCCAATAAAAAAACTGGCACATTATTGGCTTTTGTATACAAGTAAATCAATCTTTTAACACATTTTTTATATGCACAAACAACATTACAAGTAAGAATCTATTACTTGAATTAGAATAAGAATAAGAATCTGTTACTTCTGCCCTAGCGGTACATGCTACCTGATTTGACATACAAGAGATACTCGAAATCAAAATTGGAATTGATCATGTCCTAAGAAAAAAGATCATACCCTGTAAATCAACTCTCCCAGATTGGACATGAAATCAACTGTTTACTCCATCCAACTAAAGCTGAAATCTGCGATAAAAATGAAGTAATTAAAGTAAATATATTTAAGTTAGATTCACTCAAGTATGTTGCCATTGTTTTTCATAATAAGACTTTAAGAAAGCGTAGGTGAATAATTAACATAAAGCAGTCAGTGACTTTAAGTATTCATTGAGCAAATAAGCTACAAATTCTAAATCTTTACATCGATGAATCTGTAGAGCTGAGCTGTTTATGTTAAAATATTGTTAAGTTGTAGTCAAATTAAATATCTTTAATTTAATTGAAATCAACATGCATAACTTCAGATTGTGTAAAAAGGAATTGAAGGCACCAAAATGAAAATGTTGATCTGGCTAATACCCGGGGCATAATATCCATCTTCTGATGAGCACGAGTGTTAATTAGGGCGTTGAAATGGTGTGTACAGCTGAGATTGAGGTAACTGATGATGAACAGTGAGAGATGGTACTCACTACTCATGTGGTGACTGATGCACTGCGAAGGGAAAGATGGTTGGTGAGGGCGCCGTTGTCGCTGGTGCTATCGGTGGCACATGCAGATGTGTATCGCGGAAGCCACTTCTGGAGGAGTGCGATGATCTGAATCGGCGTTCCAAGACTATGGTTACCGGTTACGGCAAGGATTGTAAATTTTGTATTTTGGGTTTTAGCTTTCAGGTTTTAATAAACTTTTGGGCTACGGTTGTTTACAAAATG